GACGACATTCTGGCCCCTGGCCCCGGGGACGCGGGCACAGGGAGCACAAGCAGCTGGTCCCAGGCCACAAAGCAACGGTGACAGTGACGGAAACAACCCAGGGCCCCCCAACCCTCAGCCTCCGTCCCAGCCCGGCGGAGTAACTGCCCTGAGACTTCCAAGCAGGGGAGCCCCCCCGGGGCGCCCCCCCGAGCTCCCCACGCCTCAGCGGGCCCTTCTGCCCCCGAGACCTTTGAACACCGATGTGTCCAGTGCAGATCTAAGCAGGCGGGCGCCGGGGCCGGGTGAGGACTCAGGAGTGAGCTGCCTGGGGACGGAGGGATCCTGCACCGCGGCCCCGCTGTGGGTGGGAGCGTCCCCGGGGAGGGGTGGTGGCCCCCGTGGACAGGTCAGGAGCTTTTTTTGTTCTGGGCCCATTTCTGAGGGTAGGAGAAACTGACACTCACGTTTCCCCATTTTGATCCGTCCCACCCTCGCCAGGGCACCTGGACGAACAGGGCAGCACCCCAGGTCCCTTCCCTCCCTCGGGGCGGGATCCTGCCCAGCCTGGTCCCCGGGGCCGCTCGGCCGCGTAAGAGACTCCCAGGGCCCGGCTGCCACTCGCACTCACCTTGAGCCCTTGCCACGGGAGGCTGCCCCGCAGGAAGTACATGAACATGTGCCCTAGCGCCTCCAGGTCATCCCTGCGGCTTTGCTCTGCGCAGAAGAGAGAAACGGTAAGTGCCCCGCGCCGACGCGCTGCTCCCAGCACCACACGGCAGCCCCTGCGAGCGAGCCAGGCCCGCCCAGAGCAAGGTGAGCCACGGGGCTTTCGAGAGCCAGGGAGCCCCTGGCATCGCTGCATCTGGGCTGCCCGGGAAACCAAGCTCTGGGGAGCTCCTGGCCAGCGTTCCCAGGTGTCCGGTATTTTCGGTTTTTCTCGGATGGAAGGCTGCTTGGGATATTCTTCACCTGGCAGGAGCAGAGGGCTGTGACTTTTCTTTGCTTGTGCCGTTGGTTTTTTTGCTCAACAACTTTGGTCCCCGTTGGGTTTGGGATTTTTTTTGGCTCAATCAATTTTTCTCCCTCCATGTTCGGTATTTTTTCTGAAACTATCTGGCAACCCTACTCACGGCCCCCAGGAGCCTGGCAAGAGGCCCCAGAGGCAGCTGGCTTGCTGAGGCTGGGTGCCTCATGGGCTCTCCTGCCCTGGTCCTGGCGAGGCCACGGTGCCACGTGGAGCTGCTGAGATGCCCCCGGCCTGCCCTGAGCTGCGGCAGGGGGAGCGCCCGGCGCCAAGCCACGCAGCTGAAGACCTCAGTGGCTCCGGCCCCAGGCAGGCTCTGTCAAAAGCCAACGCCTCCCCAGCTGCAGGCGTCTTTCCCCGGGCGCCCGAGCGTACAGGGGACAGGGATGTTCCCGGGACAGACGGAGGCCAAGGCAGGAGCCCCGTGGTCCCACAGACGCGCCCCCAGCCCAGAGCTGGGGCGGTGCTGGAGACAGGATGCTCCTGCCATCTCCCCATCGTCCCTAAGGCAGGTCCCCAGGATGGGGCAGGTGCTGCCTCCTGGTGCCCACAGCCTCCCCCACTTCCTGCTTCAAGCCAAGTCAGCCGCTGCCCTCCGGCCTAAGGGTCACGCTCCGCCTAGAGAGCAGCCTGGTCTCCGGGCAGGGCGGGGAAGGGCTGGTGGCCCTGGAAGGAGCAGGGGCCCTGCCTTGCTCAGCAAGGTGCCAGGAGCTGATCCCAGGCAGGGGCTCTCCAGCAGGCGGAGGATGGGGGGTCTGACAGCCACACGCATGCTGGGGAGGAACTCCCGTCCCCGCCTACAGTCAGCTGGCATGTACAGCCTGGCGCCGCCTGGGCACAGGCACGGAGCTGTGCCTCCGGTGCCAGGTTGCCGTGACATGCCCGGCGTCGCAGATGCCCAGCCCGTGTTATCGTCAGCCCGGCCCCGCCGCAGGGCCCTTTGGGGTGGCCGGTACCTTTCCCGAGGTGCGTGTTGATGCTCATGTAGCGCGCCGTGCCCGTCAGGCTCTTGTGCTCGCGGTAGGGGATGTGTTTTTTGGTCTCAGGGTCGATGTACTCCTTGGCCAGGCCGAAGTCGATGATGTGGATGGTGTGCTGGCGCTTGCTGCCTGGCCGCCCCACCAGGAAGTTCTCCGGCTTGACGTCTCTGTAGATCAGGCTTTTGGTGTGGACGTACTCCATGCGCGTGATCTGCGGGAGGGCCAGGGTCAGCGCGAGGCCGGGCTCTGCCCTGCTCCCCCACTCAGGCTGAGGGGCTGCTGCTCCAGCCAGCC